GGGGGGCGTCCTTTTATTTGTGGGGGGGACACCGCTCAAGGGGGGTAGCCTTTCTGAGCTCCCAAAAACAGCATTTTTTAATTAAATTTTAATTAGAAATCGATCATTTGGGGGATGCGTTTTTTTTCCAGTTTTGGCGTTTTGAAACTGGCGCATTGCAAAAGTATATTATACTTGCGAGGTGGATGAGGAAAGATCAGGCAATGTTGATATAGTTGTTGAACTAATTCATTGCTTAATTGATTGCAGTCTGAAGCACGCATGTAAAAAAATCATCGCAGCTGGCTGGGGTTTACTAATTGGGGGGGGCGTCCTTTTATTTGTGGGGGGGACACCGCTCAAGGGGGGTAGCCTTTCTGAGCTCCCAAAAACAGCATTTTTTAATTAGATTTTAATTAGAAATCGATCATTTGGGGGATGTTTTTTTTTTCCAGTTTTGGCGTCTTGAAACTGCCACATTGCAAACGTATATTACACATGCGAGGTGAATGAGGAAAGATCAGGCAATGTTGATGTAGTTGTTGAATAATTAATTGCCCAATTGATGGCAACTTCACAAAAAACATCTGAAACCAGTCTGTTTGGCAATAGTGCGGCTCGACCTACTGAAAGCACAGCTCTTGCAATGAAAGAGAGTCACCTCATCCCAACATGATGAGCCAACCCACAAGAAACCTCTGAAACCAGTGTGTTTGGCAATAGCGCGGCTTCGACCTAATGAAAGCACAGCTCTTGCAATGAAAGAGAGTCACCTCTTCCCAACGTGATGAGCCAACGCACAAAAAAATTCTGAAACCAGTGTGTTTGGCATTAGCGCGGCTTCGACCTAATGAAAGCACAGCTCTTGCAATGAAAGAGAGTCACCTCTTCCCAACATGATGAGCCAACCCACAAAAAACCTCTGAAACCAGTGTGCTGGCAATAGTGCGGCTTCGACGTACGGAAAGCACAGCTCTTGCAATGAAAGAAAGCCACTGGAAGTAATTAGATGCAATGTCCAGAAGCAGGCAAAGGTAGCTAACATAACAGCAAGACATTGGCAGAGAAAGAGGCACAACACACAAGCATTCAAGCCAGCTGTGTGCCACCCCCGGGCTGCAAGACGCACCCTCCGGGAATCTAAGCCGCTGTGTGCCACCCCCGGGCTGCAAGACGCACCCGCCGGGAATCGAACCTGGCTCCATTGGCCCAAAGTTTATTCAATACCACTATGCCATGGGGGCTTGCCCTAAATGGCAAAAAATGGCTTTATAGAACCACTGACTGGGCCTGGAAGGGGTTTGCCGGAATCAAAAACACAATGCGCAACACCCCCCTAACCCCCCAACCAAACCCGCAGCCAAACCCCCAAACAACCCCCCCAATTAATAAAACCCCCCCAAATAACCCTCCCCAACCCTTTGGTAGTCGCCTCCAGCTCACGAAAGGCTCTTGCAACGATAAAAAATCAACTTTTCCCATCATCATGAGCCAAAAAACCTCTGAAACCAGTGTGTTTGGCACTAGCGCGGCTTCGACCTAATGAAAGCACAGCTCTTGCAATGAAAGAGAGACACCTCTTCCCAACATGACGAGCCAACCCACAAAAAACCTCTGAAACCAGTGTGTTTGGCAATAGCGCGGCTTCGACCTAATGAAAGGACAGCTATTGCAATGAAAGAGAGTCACCTCTTCCCAACGTGATGAGCCAACCCACAAAAAACCTCTGAAACCAGTGTGTTTGGCAATAGTGCGGCTTCGACCCCCTGAAAGCACAGCCCTTGCACTGATAGAGGGTGCCTTCAAGATGCCCTCTTTTTTTTGGGTTGTGGCTTATCCGGATCCACTTGTATATGTGCATATCAAATTACGTCGTCGTCGTCGTAGAAGTAGTAGCCGTAGTAGCAGTAGCAGTAGCAGCAGCAGCAGTAGCAGTAGCAGTAGCAGTAGCAGTAGCAGTAGCAGTAGCAGTAGCAGTAGCAGTAGTAGTAGTAGTAGTAGTAGTAGTAGCAGTAGTAACAGCAGTAGAAGAAGCAGCAGCAGCAGCAGGAGGAGGAGTAGTAGTAGTAGTAGTAGCAGCAGTAGTAAAAAAAGTGCCACGTTGCAAGAGCATACTTGCGAGGTGGATGAGGAAAGATCAGATTCCTATGAGAAAAGATAAGCAAACCTATGGTAAACCATCAGATTCCTATGAGGGAAGATTCGAAAATGAATGGTAAACCATGAGATTCCTATGAGAAAAGATGAGAAAACCTATGGTAAACCATCAGATTCCTATGAGAAAAGATGAGAAAACCTATTGTTAACCATCAAAATCCTTTGAGGGAAGATGAGGAAACCACGTAGAAACCATCAAATTCCTATGAGGAAACATTCGAAAATTAATGGTAAACCATACAAAAATCCAATGAGACATGATCAGAAAACCTTTGGTAAACCATCAAATTCCTTTGAGGGAAGATGAGGAAACCACGTAGAAACCATCAAATTCCTATGAGGGAAGATTCGAAAATGAATGGTAAACCATGAGATTCCTATGAGAAAAGATAAGAAAACCTAGGGTAAACCATAAAATTCCAATGAGACATGATCAGAAAACCTCTGGTAAACCATCAAATTCCTTTGAGGGAAGATGAGGAAACCACGTAGAAACCATCAAATTCCTATGAGGGAAGATTCGAAAATGAATGGTAAACCATCAGATTCCAGTGAGAAAAGATAAGAATACCTATGGTAAACCAAAATAGGAAGTAACCCTGGAAATTGTAATCCGAATTAAAAAGTAAAAGGGAGTAATAGCAAATTAGTCCCACCAAAAATTTGGGGATCCCGGAGGGGCATGATTAATTGGGGGGTGTTTCAGTGTTATTAGGGGGGAAATCAGCACGTAGAGGACTTTAGTATTGCCCAAAAATTTCCGGTGAAAAAGCGCTTGATTAACTTGGGGGCTTTATTAATCCTACCTCAACATTACACCAAAAAACTTTAAAAGACTTTAACCCTATATTTTTTCATATCATAATATATGAAAATGTTTGATTCGAACATAGGAATGTTAGACGTAGATGATTTAGATTTATGATATTATTTTATAATAATATATTATGATAAAATATTATGATGAAACTTTATGATATGAATTTATGTGATGATGGATGGTGATGAAATGATGTGGGATGATGATGTATGAAATTATGTGGTCTTATTTTGTGTTGATACTGTGATGAAATGATATGAACTGTTGTGAAAATGAATTGTGGTAAATGATGAAATGATGGAGGTGGATGATATGACCTTAGGTGTGTTTGTGTCTAGCTATATCTACATATATATATATATATTTCTTTTATAACATACATATATGAAAACATTGGAACTATAACCAAATGTCTCATTCCTTTCGCCATGATGATCCGCAGGGACCCACAGAGCGAACCCCTTTAACACAAAAGATTAATGACTTCTTTCTCACAACCCTTTAACACAGATGTTTGCCTGTTTGCCTAAGATTCCATTCAACCCATAAGAATATATGCCCCAGTGCCTGGATGAATAAAGGAAGGGGCCCTAAATTAGCATAAAACCTCACTTGAGATACTACCCAGACCTAAGAAAAATTAGGTCTGGGTAATATTGCTAACACTCCAATGGCTCTCCAGCCACTCAGCCACTCAGCCGCTCAGAGTGGCTAAGTGGCTGAGTGGCTGCGTCAGCCGCTCTGCCAGAGTGGCTGAGTGGCTGAGTGGCTGAGTGGCTGAGTGGCTGCGGCAGAGTGGCTGGTCTCAGCCACTCTGAATGACTGAGTGGCTGAGTGGCTGCTCCAGCCAATCTGCCGCAGACACTCAGCCACTCAGCCACTCTGCCAGAGAGGCTGGACCAGCCACTCAGCCACTCAGCCACTCTGGCTGAGTGGCTGCTCTCCAGCCAATCTGCCGCAGACACTCAGCCACTCAGCCACTCTGCCAGAGTGGCTAGACCAGCCACTCAGCCACTCAGCCACTCTGCCAGAGAGGCTGGACCAGCCACTCAGAGTGGCTGAGTGGCTGAGTGGCTGAGTGGCTGCGTCAGCTGCTCTGCCAGAGTGGCTGAGTGGCTGAGTGGCTGCTTCGATTTCGCGAGCCGTGTTGCACATCCACTCATTAGATTACCAAACATTTGTGACCAACCCCAAAATGTCTCCGCTTTATTTTCTTCAGAATGATCTGTTGTTCATGATAGTCATCCTACCATAGGGGTAGGATGACACCATAACATTTTATTCCCAGGAGGTCCTATTTCCCTTATTGTGAATGTTCCATATTAAAGGAAATGTCCTGAGGTACACTGGTTTTCTGGCAGACACCCTTGCCCACCCCATAACCTACTCATAATTTTGGCCGTCTTATTTCCCTGTTGCATATTATGAACCTTTTCAAGGCGCCCCCGAAGATGAGATCCCACGCAAGACTCTTAAAGGTGCTCATCTGGAACTGGGTTTGGAAACAGGTGACCCCCAGAATGCGTGGATCTTTTGATTCCACGGATACATGCGTCAAAAGCAAGACGGTCTGTTCACCGAAACCCAGTCCTTCAAATAGTGGAGGGCGGACAGCGCAATTCACCACAAAAACGTTAGTAAGTTTGGGCCAAGTAACATAGGAATTATTGTGTGTGTGTGTGCGTGTCCCCCCCTAAATACCTATCTCGGCACTAGACCCCCCAGAAATGTTAACATGGAACAAAGCAAAAACCAGTTTGTGGTGGTGTGTGCATCCCTCTGCCTTTCAAGTGTAATTGACACCTGTTGCATTAACGTGTTTTTTTTTTTGCGGCCTGCGCTAACAAAAAAATGCTGAAAAAATGCACCTTCAACACGGACCGTCAAAAAAATGTTGTTCTTTGATATTCTGTACGAGCGCATTAAAACATATCCGGATGCTATCCCCCTCGGCCAGCAAGCTGTCCTCCTGTTTTGTCCAGCCCACAGGCAGTGAGTGAATATTATGTTTTTATTTCAGATTGTTTGTCGATGTTTGCGGCAGGAGTTTCGGAAAGGCATGGACGATGCAGACTGGCACGAGTACGACAAACTCGTTTTCTTGCAGCGATCTGTTGCACTGGTTCTGACGCTTCAATTTCTTTTCCAATCCTTCTGCGCAGTGAATTTCTACATGTCTCAGTGGCATTGCGAATCTCACCTTTGGAGCGTTTTTCAAGGTTGCGTTGAAGGCAAGGTGACAGCACAGTTTGTCACGACTATGTTAGTTCGGTGACTGCTCGTTTTAGTTTGTCGAAGTTGAAAGATATCGAGAAGATATGTGCTGCGCATACCTGCATCCTCGAAAAAGCACAAATAAATGCTCATTTGAGAGATTTCTGCTTTTTGAGCGGTTTTTCTCCACATGAGCGTAATTGCACCACTTTAGGCATTTTTGCACTTTGTGCATTTTGAAGCCAACATTATAAGCGTATTTTGCCGGGAAATAAGCGTAAATACCCGGGAAAAAAGCGTAAATGCCCGTCCGTCAAGAAACAAATGCGCGTTTTCTGGTTCAAATGAGCATAAAAAGTCAGAACGAGCGCAAATCCAAGCGAAAACTGCTATGAGCAGAAAAAGTGCTAAGTGAAGATCCAGGTATATTTATATTTTATTATATATATAATATACTGTATTATAAGTTTGCAAACCCTTGCAAGATACGTGTATGTAAGTATTGTATGTCTACCAGTAACATGGTTGTAAATTCCAGCTAGCAACATAGATGAAGTTTCAAATATTTAGGCAAGATGCACCTGTGTAAAGAAGTCAGCCTACATGTCATATTATGTATTTTTCTGCGACCAATAAGTTATCAAAGTTAACACAAGCTGACAGGCAGAGAGATGGATAGATACAGACACCAAAAACAAACACACAGAGACAGAGAGAGAGAGGGAGACAGGCAGCCAGACACACAGACATCAGACTAGAGGTGGCTTGAGTGGTTTGGCATCAATCCCTTGCAAAAAACCAGACTGGTCGGCTTCGCGAGGTGACCCTGGCAAATCTCGATCCGATCAGTTCCAGATAAGTCAAAATTGTATCTGAAAGCAGCATGACCTGCGACTGACAAAGGAGAGGTTGCTTGCAACAATGAGGGGCATTTGAGAATTTGCAATATTAATTATATTATATATAATTAATTATAATTATACATAATACAAGACAGAGACAGAGAAAGACAGAAAGGAGAAAGAAGAAGGAAGGCAGCGATGGAGAAAGACTGAGAAAGCTGACCCTGCCGAGTCCACTAGATATGGATCACAAAAATCACTTCAGCGCTTCAGCATACAGATTTTGCATACTGCCCGTCGTTTCACATCCATGCCGGTGCAAAAAAATAGTGCAATTGCATCACGCTAGCGTGAATGTTAATGCATCCCATTAGCAGCATGAAAAGCATGCACTGACATGGAACAATGTCAGTAACATGGAACACATCATGCAATCGACCACAGTCGGCTTGAGCCTCTAAGGAAAAAATATGCCTGTGCGTTTGCACTATCCATTGACATTTGTCCTTAACTGGAAGTTTGCTCACTAAAATTCTTTTGACGACACCTTTAATTCGTGGAAATTCTGTGAGGCTTTGCAGTTGTTGATGGCACGAACTTCGACTAGGAGGCATTCACTCCGTCTGGGAAGGGTCACCTTGGAGTCTTTCGCTGTGATACGGTACTTGATCATTTTGATCGGGGGGGTGCACGATCTACATCTGGTAGACGTGAACAGCGCATGGAATGGCAGTATAAAATAGTATAAACATGTATAAACGCATTTGTGTCGTTTCATCAACTTAAGCTGAGTAGCGTTCCTTACACAAACTAAATTAACGCTTTCCACATGAACATGTGATTTCATACAACTGAGAATTGAGTGACTGAGTGTGACTGCTTCCCTCACGCTACAGTCTATGATGAAGCGTTTCTTGACTTTCACACATGATATCGAGACTTAAGAATGGTGCCTCGCATAAATGTTGGGGTAGGAAACTGTGTCTGTTCCACCACATTATCAATGTGTCAAGAAACTGCTGCAAAGTGCGAGATGGCAAAACTGATCAAAACTGTATGGCATCCTTTAGCATCCCATGCATGACAGAATTTGTCTTCAAGGTTAGCAATGAACCGATGATTAATTTCTGTCATTATTCCACGTGTCAACCCACGATATCTCATTCATGTTGCTTCATGTTGTCTGTATGGTAGTGATTCCTTTCGCTCAGCCAAAAGGGTGCCATGTTCCTTCCATGTGGATCGTCCCGTACTGGGAATGCTTGTGCGAGGCACGTTGTGGTTGTATTGAGACCCAAAGCCATGCAGGAATCGTAGGCTGCGCAGGACACACAGGAAGCCCTCAGCAGATTGAATGATCACCAACATTTTTTGGCGCCCAGGAATGCTGGTCCAGTCAGGGATAAATCAGACTTTTCTTCTCAAACTGATACTTGAGACTTGATTGGTCAATATGTAACCCTCCTTAATTATCGTTGAATGAGCGTTGCGTGCTGTCTGAAAATTATAGATTCGATGATCCATTCGGTACTTTCCAGCCATGACTGACACTACTGAAAATTCTAGGCAATATCATTTCCAAATTTTCCAAGAGAGCCTTCCTGGACAGATGGGCACATATGTGCCTTATCTGACAGATACTGTATCTGCGAATGCCCACGCAGTAGCAGCATGAGAGCATTTGCTATTTACATTTTTACAGACCGGATTCCAGTTTGAGCGGACAATTTGTTGTGCATTGGACGGTGCTGCTCCTATTGGCTCGTCTACAATCGTCTACATTTGTTTTTTGTTGGAAGTGACAGGAATCCTGTCCGTTTGAACCTCTCCCAGTGGCGAGTGGAACATATGGACAGGGATTGGTAAATGTCCCATTTTGGGTATATTGAACATCACCTTATAGTAGCCATTATAGACCATATACCTAATGGTTGGGTGATGTTCAATGGGGACATTTAATGACCCATGTATGGAACATTATGGAACACTTGCCCTGCAAGGTGGCCACGAAGAATTTTTGAGTTTCACCTTGATCCATTTTGAGTGTGCAAAGTCGCGCATAAAAAATCCTTTCCAATCAGCGGAGCTGCTTGGAATTCCTGTCTTTGACCACTACTGTAGTTGCTCTGAGAGGGTGCAAAGAGCTGATTGTCTTGGTCGAAGGAGTCAGGGAACATCTTTTTTTCCCCACATTGACGTGTGGGGTTTTTGTTTTTAGTGCTGTATCCGCTCCTTCTCCTCCCGCCCTCCCGCCTGTACACACACACACATCACTCACGCATACATCACACACACACATACACTCACTCACATCCTGTCCTCCCTCACACTCATCACACTCACACACACACACATCACTCACACATACATCACACACACACAACATACATACATACATACATACATACATACATACATACATACATATACATACATACATACACATACATACATACGTACATACATACATACATACATATACATACACATACATATATACACATACATACATACATATACACATACATACATACATACATACATACATACAACACATACATATACATCATACATACATAACATACATACATAATACATACATACATACATACATACATACATACATCACTACATACATACATACATACATACTCACTCACTCACTACACTCACACTCACTCACTCACTCACACTCACTCACTCACTCACTCACTCACTCACTCACTCACGCACTCACTCACTCACTCACTCACTCACACTCACTCACTCACTCACTCACTCACTCACTCACTCACTCACTCACTCACTCACTCACTCACTCACTCACTCACTCACTCACTCACTCACACCTCACACATACATCACTCACACATACATCACACACACATACACACACATACACTCACTCACACACACCTCACACATACATCACTCACACATACATCACACACACAAACACATACACACAATCACACATACAATCACTCACACACACACTCTCTCACACACACACTCATACAGATCACTCACACATACATCACATGGTCTCCGCCGCTCTGCCGGTGGCGTTTGCGTGGCAGGTGCGGCACTTGGTGCTCTGTAAGGGGTCGGATGGCTTTTGCGTGGCAGGCGCGGGACAATGTGCACTGCCAGGGGTCGGAAGTACGCCCTGGCGTCCCTTAACCGCCGTTCTGCGGGTGGCGTTTGCGTGGCAGGTGCGGCACTTGGTGGTCTGGAACGGGTCCGATGTACGCCCCGGGGCCCCTTACCGCTATCCGCGGCGTAGGACAATGTGCTTTGCCAGGGGTCGGACGTACGCCCTGGCGTCCCTTGGTCTCCGCCGCTCTGCCGGTCGCGTTTGCGTGGCAAGTGCGGTGCAAGGGGTCGGATGTACGCCCTGGCGTCCATTGGTCTCCGCCGCTGTGCCGGTGGCTTTTGCGTGGCAGGTGCGGCACTTGCTGCACTGCCAGGGGTCGGATGTACGCGCTGGCGTCCCTTGGTCTCCGCCGGTCTGCCGGTTGCAAGGGGTCGGATGTACGCGCTGGCGTCCCTTGGTCTCCGCCGGTCTGCCGGTTGCTTTTGCATGGCAGGCGCGGCACTTGGTGCTCTGCAAGGGGTCGGATGTACGCCCTGGCGTCCCTTGGTCTTTGCCGCTCTGCCGGTGTCTTTTGCGTGGCAGGCGTGGGACAATGTGCTCTGCCAGGGGTCGGATGTACGCCCTGGCGTCCCTTGGTCTCCGCCGGTTTGTGGGTTGCTTTTGCGTGGCAGGTGCGGCACTTGGTGCTCTGCCAAGGGGTCGGATGTACGCCCTGGCGTCCCTTGGTCTCCGCCGCTGTGCCGGTGGCTTTTGCGTGGCAGGTGCGGCTTGGTCTCCGCCGCTCTGCCGGTGGCTTTTGCGTGGCAGGTGCGGCGCTTGGTGCTTTGCCAAGGGGTCAGATGTACGCCCTGGCGTCCCTTGGTCTCCGCCGCTCTGCCGGTGGCTTTTGCGTAGCAGGTACGGCGCTTGGTGCTCTTTACGTTTACATACATTTACATTACTACCACCTAACTAACCTCACATCACACGAAAATAATATCACTTCCCACATACGTCCATAATTACACATACGTATAACATCCGCATGTACATCACATATATTACAAGCTGCCTCTTACACCCGGTACACATATCGTTAACACACTACCAAAATAACACGCCTGTACATGCACATACATACATACACACACACGCACATAAACTCACCCACCATCACCCTCCATCACTCTCATACTTCCTCTTCCCTTGTTGCTTTTTTCTATGCTCAATCTAAGTCTGGTGTAGTTGTTAACATGTGGGGTTATCCGGTCCTATCGTGATGCTGATATTACAAAGAGAATGGAAGTGTTGCATTCAAAAGATAAAGGACGGGAGCTATGCAGCGTTTCCGTTCTCATCCGCGCTCTGCTGGCTACGCGTCGCACAGGTAACCTGACCCATGTGAGCAAAATTATATCCCATATGGGTTTTAATTATTTTTCATTTATATTTGAAGATTACTTATTTTTGTGTCATATTTTTTTGTGAACTCAATGTCCTTCTTTGGGCTGGGGGTTTCTTTGCCTCAAACGGACCTTTGACATATTTTTTTGAACCCCTTGTAGATTAGGAGTTTTATAGGTCCCAATTTTATATATATATATAATTATATATACTAGCGGTATATAATATCCCCCCAATAAGGTATTTTATAGAATTGAAATTTATTACCTCCTATGAGGAAAATACACCTTTATAAAATGAAAAATATTAAAATTCTAAAAATTATCGCTTAACTTTAAAATCTTTTAAAGACTATAGAATGGGAGCCCATGAAATACTTTCGAGCCTATTTTTATTTTTATAAATTTACCTAAAATAAAATAGTAATACCGTATTAGGTGGTGGCGGAAATTTTAAAGATTGGATTTGAAAGGAGAGGTGAATTAATAAGAAATATGGATGATAGAGCGAAACTATTGATGGATTGAAAGGTTGTAAAAACCGAGCTATTAATTGGATTGAAACTACATATAAGTGGGGAAATTAAAATAAGAACTAACTACCTAGACCAACGTAAAAAGGTAATGGACCGCAAGAAACAGGCTAGGTCAAGGCTGGAGCAGGCTAAGGTTGTGGGAGGCTGGCCCAGCCCGGGAAAACGAGGGAAACCACAAAGGTCCTTATCTAGGGCATAAAAAGAACAACAAGAAATATATCTGGGGAAAACAACAGGAAATAAATAAATAAGACTCCAACAAAGGGAGGCCTCCTCGAGGCGAATAAACTCGAAAAGGTGATCGCAACGGGAAAAATACAATAATAAATAAATAAAAAACAATGGATATATAATGGATAAAAAAAAATATTTTAAATATATATATAAATGTTTTGTGTTATGTTAAATATGTGTTTGGATTATATTTATATGTTATGAATGTGTTGTATATATGTTTTGGATATAAATTTAATATAATTTTAATGTATTATGATTGTATTTTAAATATATTATTTTTAATATGTATTTGTGTTTATTTTGTTGGATTATTTTTAAATAAATTAATTATAATGTTAATGGGTATTTATTATTGAAAATTTATATTATATTATTTAGAAATTTAATATTAAAATAATATTTTTTATATTTAATTAAGAATATATATTATGGTTTTTAGGAATTTGATATTGAAATTATAAAGAATTTGAAATTAAAATATATATAAATTAAAATATAAAATATGGATTTAAATTCTAGGCTATATATAATTTGTTTCCTTTCGATTTATACCTTGATTTTTATCTTATAATATTATATAATCCATACCCTTGATCCATATTTTTTCTTATTGAAGGAAAATTGATAATAATTGGAGGTGTTTTCGTGTTATAAATATTTTTTATTATATAATAATTTATTTAGGAATTATTTTTGTTATTATTATTGCTGGTCTTGTTCCGACTATTGGTATTGATTTATTTCCTCCGGGTACCTTCTGGTAGTTAGTTCGACAAATGTAATTAGTTAATTAATTGCTAGCAATAATTTAAATGTATCTTGGAGGCTTATAAGATCGATTTTAATTCGTTTGGGTACTTTTTGTCCTTCTATTGACGTTATTATTTAATTTATTTTGTGTTCCTTTTATCTGACACATATAAAATTAAACTAGACTAGAAATACCCCGTTTTCTTCTTTCGCAGCCATCGCGGGAAAGTCGGCCCAGATAGCATATCCCGATTTATACCCCGATTTATATCCCGATCCATACCCCGTTCCATACCCGATCCATACCCGAACCTAGTTACGCCATAACAAATACCAATATAAAAATCCGATATTATTATTTTTTGTCTTAATAGAGGAAGGTATACGATTTTATACTAC